CTCTCTGATTTTCTCTCTACTTTTTGAAATTTTTCAAAATGTTTTTTTTTGCGGGGGAGGTGGGGTGGGTGGTGTAGCCAGGGCAGGTATGTGTTATTTGCTTTTGCTTTTTTAATACAGATCTCTGGGCTCTACTCGAGACCTGCCAAATTTGAATGCTCGGGCCCAGAAATCTACTCTACAAGGGATGCCAAACTTTTAGAATCACTACTTTGGGCCTTCTGAACTTCTGTTTGAACCTCTGGCCTAGCTAAGGCATATTTCCAGTTTCTACTAACTGCGTACAAAAGGCCCAATGCTGCTGGCAGCCCAACTACTAGTAATGCCAGCTGTTAATACCAACTGTTGACTAAATTACCTGATTTCCCTTGATCAAGCCACAAAAACTACACACAGACTTTTAAGGTTTCTTGAAAACCGTGGATGGATGCCGGGCACGGTGGCTCACACCTGTAATCCCAGCACTTTGGGAGGCTGAGGTGGGTGAATCACCTGAGGTTGGGAGTTCAAGACCAGCCTGACCAACATGGAGAAACCCTATCTCTACTAAAAATACAAAACTAGCTGGGCATTGTGGCACATGCCTGTAATCCCAGGTACTCGGGAAGGTGAGACAGAATAGCTTGAAACCGGGAGGCGGAGGTTGCAGTGAGCTGAGATCGGGCTATTGCACTCCAGCCTGGGCAACAAGAGCGAAATTCTGTCTCACAAGAAAGAAAACAGTAGATGGGGAAATTATGAGACATACTAAGTACTTAGTGTGTGCTATACACATGCTACTAGATACTTTACATATATTAATTAATCCTTGCAACAGTCTTGTTGCGTGGGAGCTATCCTCATTTCATAGATCTGAGAACTAACTTGTCTAACATTTCATAGAAATAAAATATTAGATATTTGAATCTAGCTTTCGGACTGTAAGTTAAACCATTTTAAAGACAGAAAGCAGTGTCTGGGGAGTTAGATAATTTATTATATATTAATTAGACCCAGTGTTTGTGAGAATTAAGAATATATGTGTGTGTGTGTGTATGTATATATACACATGTGTACGTATATATGTATGTACGAATGTGTATATATACACATACACACACACACACACATATATCATGTAACCCAGTGCTGTAGGTATCATTGTCACTAAAATAATCATGCTCTGATAAAAGTACAATCATCTAATTGTTCAAACAGTGGAACACTTAAATCTTTGTGTAGTACTTCATATTTTTCAGTTGATTTATGTTAAATGTAAATGTTTTTTTAAAAAAATGTTTGTGTTTAAACAGTTGCTAAGCCAACTTAAAGGAAATTTAGAAGAAGAAAATCGACATCTACTAGATCAAATTCAGACATTAATGCTACAGAACAGAACACTTTTGGAGCAGAATATGGAAAGCAAGGATCTTTTTCATGTTGAACAAAGACAGTACATGTAGGTACCAAATAATTTTGCACTCTGAAATATGTTACTCATGATTTTATCATTGCCATACCCAGTGGCAGAGAAAATTCATGCTAATTTTTATTGATTTTCAACATTATTATTTCAACAAATATTTTTGAGTGCTTATATTCCAGGCACTCTCCTAATAATCAGAAATACTATCATGAAAACACATGAATCTTGCTCTTAAGAAATTAGTAATATAAAGTGAGAAATACAAATAAACATTTAAATACAGTAATTCTATAATGGAAGTATATGCAGGAGGCCATAGAAACAGCACATATAGGGGCAGGAGTATCTTAGTCTGGGAGAGGCAAGGTGAACTTTCCAAAGATGAGACTTGAGCAGAGACTTATGGATTCAATAGGAGTTTGCTTGAGGAGGCATACCAGCCCAGGAGAGCTGCAATACAAAGTCATGGAGGTGTGATGAAAGTATGTTGTGGTGTGGCATAGGACCTAAAAATTAATTGTTCTTTCTGGAGCAAAACTGAGGAAAGGAGTGGTGCAATAGAGAAGTGGCTAAACAGTCAGGACCCAGTTTACAAAGGTTGTTCTATGCCATACAAAGGAGTTGAGATCAGGCTGCAAGACGTGTGAAAGAGAATTGGCAAGGCTTAATTATTGGTAAATTGTGTCTCCAGAGAATTAAACAATCTATTAACACTCAGATTTGGGCCTGTGCGGCCCAGTGGGTAGTCTTTGTATTACTACACAATGATTCATCTTTACTCAATAGATCTCTTTGCTCCACAAATGAGAAGCACCACAGTATAATAGAAATAGCACAGATGTTGAAATCAGACAGCTTCTAATTTATGTCCCAATTCATCCACTCACTAGCTATGTGACCATAGACAAATCACTTCATTTCTTTGATCATTAGTTTCTTCTCTAAAATAGAGATGACACTTACTTTCCAGATTATTCAAGGAGTACATGAAGTAGTATGTCTGTGCCTTTCAGACTTGATGTACATAAATAGCCAGGGCACATGTGAAACCAGGATACATCATACATTTTTCTGAAGCACCAGTCTTACCAAAAAATTTCAGGCAGGGAACATTATTTCTTTATTAATACACAGGTGTATCATGGAACAAAGGCAGAAATTGTATAAACTTTCAAAGTAAATGTAAAACCTCAAAGAAATTTCACATTTGTGGCTGGACACCTTGGACTCCACCTTTAGTCCTTTTAGTCCTTTCTGGGGTATATATTCCTTTACTTGCTTTCAAAAGAAGCCTTGTTTTAGGTTAGGAAGCTTTGAGTATATATAAAACTTTTGACATTTGAGTCTCCTGCCCCTTAAGCAGAGGCATTATCCAAAGCTTTGTTGTCTTAACTATTCTGACCGTTGGTGACTAATACATTTCCAGGTGAAAGTGCTTGTGTCTAAATAGTTGACTTCCAAAGATTTTTATCTATTATGACTTACTGAATTTAAATTACAAATACCCATCTTGCATGTCAGACATTTCTAGCTAAATGCCTCTGTCATATGGTCCTAGCAGGATGGCAGTGGACAGGTAGTACTGAGATTTTGGAGGTTGTTAATGATATTTCAACCAGTAAAAGGAAAAACCAACTGGGAACTATGGCCTTGTTTACAACTTTTCAAACGTCAACTCTTCTGCGGGCCTCAGATCCAAGCAGTTGGTGAATAATAAATGTAGGCTGTGTGCTGTTTGTGCCGTGGTATAACTGTTGGCAATATCTGTTCACAAGGCATCTTCTACAGAATCTCTCAAGTTAGTTCTTCCTAGTCTCCACCACTGTAATTCAGCCTTCCCTCTCCAATAGACTACCCCATTAGCTTCCTGAATGTTTTCTTATCTCCAGTCCTTTTTTTTTTTTTTTCTGGGCTTGCTCTGTCAGCCGGGCTGGAGTGCAGTAGCGCAATCTCAGCTCATTGCAAACTCCCCCTCCCGAGTTCAGGCGATTCTCCTGCCTCAGCCTCCCGAGTAGCGGGGACTACAGGCAAACACTGCCGCACACTGCTAATTTTTGTATTTTTTGTAAAAACAGGGTTTTGCCACATTGGCTAGGCTGGTCTCAAACTCCTGAGCTCAAGTGATCCACCTGCCTCCACCTCCCAAAGCACTGGAATTATAGGCCTGAGCCACTGCACCCTGCCTTATCTCCAATCTTTCTGATATATCCTATTCCATCATTGGGTTAAAGTACTTTAAACAAAGATTTCTTACCACTTTGTAATGAAAGTTGGAATACTTCTGATTTCCTACTGAGCAGAATCTAAAACCAAAACTCTCCCTCACTACTTCGTCTCAGCCTATAACGTTCAAGCTAAACATAACTTAGCATTTTTTTAACTTCCTACACTACACCAACATATAATTTAGCATTCTTATCTTTCCTTTTCAACCTATCTAATAATGGCCTTTTTCTTCATGGGGATTTATTTCATGATCTAAGATGGATATATTTACCTTCCTGTTGTACTTGCACAGTATTTTTATTTTGGTACTGCTACTTCCTTGGATTATATAGTCATTTTACATATATATATTTGTGTGTGTGTGTGTGTGTGTATATATATATATGCATACACACGATATTATATGTTATATTTATGGATATATTTTCTTTCTCCTATATTATAAACAAAGCTATTTATTATTCATCTTCATATATATCTCATGCCTTCCTCATTGTAAATGATCACTAATGTTTCTTAAGTAAATAGTATTCTTTAGCATTGTGGGGTTTTCTTAGAGACATTATTTTGGTGATCTTTGATGTTTATATAGTAAATACTACTGAGAATATAAAAATGAGACTAGGATGTGATGACTCATGCATTGCTGGAGTCAGGAAATGATTCTCTACAAGTAAAACAAGCCTAAGTAATTCTGCCGAAAAGAAAAAAATCTATTTGCATGAACATGTGTTTGCAGGATTAGTCATTATATCTATAATTATAAGCAAACTATCCAAATATTTTTATTTTTTGCTAATATAAATTGTAATAGATCACCTTTCTTCCAAAAAGGAAAAAAAAAGTTGTAAATTTTTAAAAAAGGAGAAACATGGAAAAATTCCCATTGTTAACTACCTGATAAAATCTTAGTTGCCAACCATGGTATCTGTATTTTTTTATGTTTTGGGGAGAAGTTAGATCACAGTCACAAAATAATTTAATATTCATAGCTTTACAAAATATGATGCCTGTCCTAAAAGGTAATTTTTATTTTTATAGTGATAAGTTAAATGAATTAAGACGTCAGAAGGAGAAATTAGAAGAGAAAATTATGGATCAATACAAATTTTATGACCCATCTCCTCCTAGAAGGTACCATTAACCAAATTTTATGAATTCTTGTTTTGAAAAAAACACTGTACGTTATTTCTAATATTGTGATGACTTCTAATTTTGTGAAGGATTTGTATGTTGAATTTTAAACTGATAATAATTTTTAAAATTCTGTTAGGAGAGGCAACTGGATTACTCTAAAAATGAGAAAATTGATAAAGTCTAAGAAAGATATTAATCGGGAACGCCAGAAATCTCTAACATTAACACCTACCCGCTCAGACTCCAGTGAAGGATTTCTTCAGCTCCCTCATCAAGACAGTCAAGATAGTTCTTCAGTAGGTTCAAACTCTTTAGAAGATGGCCAGACCTTGGGGACCAAGAAGAGCAGCAGTGAGTGCTTAAACTCTTTAAACATAGTATTGATTTAGAATCCTTTCTAAAGATTTTTTAAAACTTCAATAGTCCTTTGGGGGAATAGTCTGATGAGTGGCATTTATTTTTAATTTCATATTATAAAATTAATTGTGTACTGCATTATTATACAGCCACACAATTTTCTGAGGTAAATCATATACAGATATACTATCATTTGGCCAGAGGGGTAAAATATTGCAGAAAGAAAGTTGAAATAAGAGCTGGAATACCTCTGCCACTTGCTATTTCTGTTAATATGGGCAAGCCTTTTACCTTTGCTTCATACTTCACAGAACAGTTGCAAGGAGCAAGTGAGAAATATGAGATGTCATTTTCATAATTATGTATAACTTAATCAGAATAATAAGGCATTTTATAATGAAGTTTCTGCTCATATACTTTGATGGTGTCACATTGGAACACAGTTACATTTGGGGAAGCAAAAATAGGTATGAATTTGAAGGGGTGTTATTCAATGATTTAGAAATTACAGAAGGTTAAGAAAATTATTGAAGGATTGCTTGGTAAGGGATCTACTAAAATAGAGAGGTGCTGGCGGGCACGGTGGCTCACACCTGTAATCCCAGCAGTTTGGGGGGCTAAGGTGGGTGGATCACCTGAGGTCGGGAGTTCGAGACCAGCTTGACCAACATGGAGAAACCCCGTCTCTACTAAAAATACAAAATTAGCCAGGCGTGGTGGCTTATGCCTGTAATCCCAGCTACTTGGGAGGCTGAGGCCGAGATTGCACCATTGCACTCCAGCCTGGGCAACAAGAGTGAAACTCCGTCTCAAAAACAAAATTAGGAAAGAAAATACAAAATTAGCCTGGTGTAGTGTTCTGCACCTATAATCCCAGCTACTCAGGAGGTTGAAGCAGGAGAATCACTTGAACCTGGGAGGCGAAGGTTGCAGTGGGTCAAGATTGCACACTGCACTCCAGCCTGGGTGACAGAGCAAGACTCCATCTCAAAATAAAAATAAAATAGAGACGTGGGGGCCAGTCACAGTGGCTCACGCACGTAATCCCAGCACTTTGGGAGGCCAAAGCAGGAGGATCACATGAGGCCAGGAGTTCAAGACCAGCCTGGGCAACATAGTGAGACACTGTCTCTATTATTTAAAAAAATTAGGCCGGGCACAGTGGCTCATACCTGTAATCCCAGCACTTTGGGTGGCCGAGGTGGGCGGATCACCTGAGGTCAGAGTTGGAGACCAGCCTGACCAACATGGAGAAACCTGTCTCTACTAAAAATGCAAAATTAGTCGGGCGTGGTGGCGCATGCCTGTAATCCCAGCTACTCGGGAGGCTGAGTTAGGAGAATCATTTGAACCCGGGAGGCGGAGACTGAGGCTGAGATTGTGCCATTGCATTCCAGCCTAGGCAACAAGAGTGAAACTCTGTCTCAAAAAAAAAAAAAGTTGAAGAGATAAACATTTGTATATAAACTTGTGATGTAATTTTTTATTACAAATGTAGAAGTACACATTATAATATGCGCCATACAATTATAACCTTTTAATTTCATTACTAGTATGCTTAAACAGTAAAAGCAAAGTAAAAGCTTTGGAAGTATATTCCAAGAAAATGAGAAAATTTTTTTAAAGATGTCTTAAGAAGTTGACTACTATCAAAGTTCTTACAAAATATGTGAACAGGATACTTTTAATCCTCTCACACTATCGCCAATGTCACTAATTGAGCACACACACATACACACACACACTCCATTCTTTTGAAATAGCAGGTAAATGCAACTGCTGCTTCTCCCAGAGGTAGACTCTCCAAATGGGCAGTTCTCAAAACACTCAAAAAACTATTCACAGTGTTTTGGCCTCAGGTGAATTATCTCTGAAAACATAGTATTTTAGGGTATAGGATATTAGGCATTAATTATGGGCTATAGGACGGGCGCAATGACTCACGCCTGTAATCCCAGCACTTTGGGAGGCTGAGGCAGGTAGATCACTTGAGGTCAGGAGTTGAGGACCAGTCTGGCGAACATGGTGACAACCTCATCTCTTCTAAAAATCCAAAATTAGTCCGGCATGGTGGCATGCACCAGCTACTCAGGAGGCTGAGGCAGGAGAATCGCTTGAACCTAGGAGGTGAAGATTGCAGTAAGCCAATATTGCACCACCGCACTCCAGCCTGGGTGACAGAGCGAGACCTCGTCTCAAAAAAATAAAATAAAATTATGGGATATATTTCAGAATGCAAGTATAGCAGTCTAAAAAGTAGAATCCATAGGTGAGCAACAGAAAAAGTCATACACATGTACATTTGTGTGTATGTGTATCTATATATAAACACACACACGTATATATATGTACATATGTGTGTGTATATATACATATGTGTATGTGTGTATGTGTATATATATATACACATATATGTCTCAAGAAAGCAGTTTTATAATTCTATATCCCCACATAAAATTATGGTTACCCTGGGTCTTTTGCTGTCTGGTTTTGTCCACCAAGTAAATCTACATAAATCCTCCAAGTAATCACTGTTTTAGAGAGATCAAGTTTTCTTTAAAAGGTGGCAGATAAGTTAATTTTATCTGTTATTTTTGGATATAAAATATCTGACATCTTAATAAGAAATGGGGCCGGGCGTGATGGCTCATGCCTGTAATTCCAACACTTTGGGAGGTTGAGGCGGGCAGATTACAAGGTCAAGAGATCGAGACCATCCTGGCCGACATGGTAAAACCCCACCTCTACTAAAAATACAAAAATTAGCTAGGCATTGTGGTGTGCTCCTGTAGTCCCAGCTACTCAGGAGGCTGAGGCAAAAGAATCGCTTGAACCCAGGAGGTGGAGGTTGCAGTGAGCCAAGATCGTGCCATTGCACCCCCAACCCTGTGCCACTGCGCTCCAGCCTGCACGACAGGAGCGAGACTCCATCTCAAAAAAAAAGAAATGGTAATAGGTATACTTAATTTTTTTTTTTAAGGAAGATTTTTTTTTAAGAGATGGGGTCTTACTCTGTTGCGCAAGGTGGAGTGCAGTGGTATAATGATAGCTCACCGCAGTCTTGAACTTCTGGATTCAAGGGATCCTCCTGCTTCAGCGTCATCCTCCCAAATAGCTGGGACTACAGGAAAACAGCACTGCACTGGCAATTGTTATTTTATTTAATTGTTTTTTAGAGACAGGGTCTCACTTATTATGCCCAGACTGGTCTCAAACTCCTGGCCTCAAGTGAACCTCCAGCCTTGGTCTCCCAAAGTGCTGGGATTACAGGCATGAACCACTGTGCCTGGCTTTAAAGGAAAGAAATGTCAGTTCAGATATAAGCATACACAAGAAAGGCACAAAAGTCTTTTTTGAAGTCATCTTGTCTGTTTTAAGTATAAATCTGTCATCATTTCATATTCTCTGCTGAAACATCCAGAATAAGAATCAGAAGGAAGTGATATTCTCCTTTCCTACAATTGTTCAGTTTTAGAATTTTTAAAATAAACCCCAAACCCAACAAATACTAATGTTCCCTTAATTTCGGTATGCTTTGGGAAATGAACATTGTATATGTACAAACTCATTACTATAAGAAGAATCATTTCTTCCTGACAAATATAAAACTCCTTTTATATTGTTCGTTTTGGAAGAGTATCTGTCAGTAAAGCAGTCCTTAGAAAAAAAATTAAAAACAGAAAAAGAAATAACTTAAAAGTAAACAAGAAAACATATGCATGCTGCAACCACTCAGCTTTGTTTTATCTAAGTGTCCATTTTTATATTGCTTTCAGTTCATTTCTTTTTAATCATTGAAAACAGCTGTGTTTACTAAGCTTGAAAAGAAATAGGTCAAACTAAAAGCTTAAGTGAATCATGACTGCTCCTAATAGCAGTCAAACAGGTTAAAGAGCTATATGTCCATTGCACTCTCTTTAATGAATGATACTTGTCAGTTTGTCAAAAGAACTTTGATTATTTACACGATGACAGCAAACACTGAGAAAGAATGTAGTTATTAAATAGACAGTGTATGATATGTTTTAGGTCTTTATGCAAATTGTTTTTCCTAATTCCTAAATTACATTTCTAAAAAGATACAATAATTTTTTATAGTTAAATATTACTAAAATGTGGCTTAAGAATGCTTAGTGACTCTAGTGAACGTTTTTATTTTTGTTCTAATGACTCCTATATTTTAGTGATAATCCTTTTATTCACAAGATCAAATTCCTTCAAAAGCTCTTCAAAATATCTAAAAAATGTTATACTTTTCTCTCGTTTTTTCTTGCTTTGGGGTACCTCCTTATTTTTTAGGTTTATTGGAGCTTATTGCTAATGCTTATTTCTACTATCTGAATACTCTTTTTTTCCCTTCTTTCCCTCAACCAATGTTTTGTAAAATGAACTTAATGTGATTGTTTATTTAATCTTTAGAAATACTTTGGTCAAAAGAATGTTTATCTCAGTGGTGCTGCTAAATAATGCATCAGAATCCAGTTTAAACCAAGAAGGAATTTATTTTCTTTATTAAGGTGTAATAAACTAATGAAAGGTTTTTTCGAGTGTTTTTGTTTTGTTTTGTTTTGAGAGAGGGTCTCCTCTGTCACCCAGGCTGGAGTGCAGTGGCGTGATCATAGCTCACTACAACCTTGAACTCCTGGGCTCAAGCGATCCTCCTGCCTCACCCTCCAGAACAGCTGGTGCTCACCACCACATGGCTAATTTTTTGTAGAGATGGGTTCTCGCTCTGTTGCCCAGGCTGGTCTTGAACTCCTAGGCTCAAGCGATCCTCCTGCCTTGGCCTCCCAAAATGCTGGGATTACAGGCAGAAGTCACCATGCCCATTTTTTAAGATTGTTTTAAACATCTCCTGGGCACCCTAATTTTTGTTGCTTTATAATAATAAAATACTGTGGTAGAAGGTGCATTTTCCTAAGTTATTTTTGTTTTCCAAAATAAATATTTTAACTAATGTTTAAAAAGTTAAAGTAGCTAAAATAGAGACTTCAAAAGCCTTGTACATTTTCATCATGTAGACTCTGTGAACCACCAATAGCCTTCATTTTAAAGGTTTACCTTTACAACTTAACTAGGAAAATTGATCCCTGCATAAATAATTCTAGTCAGTTCCTGTTTTTGTAGGACTGTAACCAATCCAAACTTTAAAAGTATATGTTCCTCAGGCTGGGCGTGGTGGCTCACGCCTGTAATCCCAGCACTTTGGGAGGCAGAGGTGGGTGGATCACCTGAGGTCGGGAGTTCGAGACCAGCCTGACCAACATGGAGAAACCCCGTCTCTACTAAAAATACAAAATTAGCCGGGCATGGTGGCGCATGCCTGTAATTCCAGCTACTAGGGAGGCTGAGGCAGGAGAATCGCAGGCGGAGGTTGCCGTGAGCCAAGATCGCGCCATTGCACTCCAGCCTGGGCAACAAGAGTGAAACTCCGTCTCAAAAAAAAAAAAAAAAAAAAAAACTATATGTTCCTCATCATTGTCTTCAGTGCTTTTCCAAGTATTTTAAAATATCAGAGTACATATTTCATATTTCATTATCACTCAGCAGCATGAGAATAATAGCCTTAATATAGCATACATAGCTAAAACTCAAACATTCATTTCTGTCCTTAATTTCAACATTTAACTCCCATCTGTTCTTCTCCCTTTTTTCTTTCATTTCCCTGTTTCTGTTTTTCCTCATGCTCTGACATTAAAGTGGTTGCACTGAAAAGACTGCCCTTTTTGAGGAACAGACCGAAGGATAAAGACAAAATGAAGGCCTGCTACCGTCGTTCCATGTGTAAGACTTTATGACAGTTCAGCTTCTTTCAACTGACTACACTGGCTTTCATTACTAATTTTTCACTAACCTTTCTCTGGACTGTGCCAATTTCCTTATTTTGCAGAGGTCAGTCTTCCTCTAATATAAGGAGCTGGAAGAATTTTTTTTTCAAGTGGCACTGAATTTGTATTATGTATATGTCCACTTATACATATACATGCATATTTCTAGTCATACATGTAACTTACTCGTGAATTTCCAGTGCTTTCTAAAAATTGGCAGAAAAAAACCCTCTTTATGCCATAGAGATTTTTTTCCCAAAGAAGTTTGCTTAAGGAGAATATAACAAAACTTTTAGTATTAGAAATTAATTTCCTTTAATGAACCAGATTAATTAAATAAATAAAATGGCCAAAAACCCTTGAAAATGCTTGTCATTCTTTAAATAATAATATTCTGGATTTTCTTTTTTTATGTGGCATGGGTAATTACATAATCACATTAAGTGTCTGTCACTTTGGATATCATCTCTTTCAGGTTTTTATTGAATGGTATACTTATTGAGTCATAAAATGAGTAATTTCTTCAGTAACCTGCTCTGACCAAGGACTTTCATTTTCAATAATGATGCTATATAAGAACTGCTCTTCATCTTACCTTTATCTATTCCATTTTTGTCACCACAAAACCACATTGTGAAGGCTGCTAATTAAAGTTTTAGCACATTGCTGCGCAATAGCATGGCAGTCGTACTTAGTAAAATTCCTTTCTCTGTCTTTTAAAGGGGGTGGAGGTGGGATAAAAGTATTTATTTAAATGTATCAGCCTTTGGCCTACTCATTTCATTCAGCTGAATGCATGTCATAATTTAAATGAACATTTGGTTATAATTTTTTAATGTCCATTTGCATTAATTCATAGACAAAAACCACAGTATTTATACTACAAAATAGAAATACAAACAAATACATTAACCATGCTGATTCATTTGCTTTCATTTGCATCCCAGCCATGAATGACCTGGTGCAGTCCATGGTCCTAGCAGGACAGTGGACAGGTAGTACTGAGAATTTGGAGGTTCCTGATGATATTTCAACGGGTAAAAGGAGAAAAGAATTGGGAGCTATGGCCTTCTCTACTACAGCCATCAACTTTTCAACTGTCAACTCTTCTGCAGGCTTCAGATCCAAGCAGTTGGTTAATAATAAAGGTAT